CGTGGAGTAGGGGTGGGGTGCGAGGCGGGGCGACGAAGTTTACTTTTTTTTTTTTTTTTTTTTTTTTTTTTTGGTTTTTCGAGACAGGGTTTCACTGGCTTTTGAGCCTGTCCTCGAACTAGCTCTGTAGACCAGGCTGGTCTCGAACTCAGAGATCCACCTGCCTCTGCCTCCCGAGTGCTGGGATTAAAGGCGTGCGCCACCATCGCCCGGCCTCAGCAGTAGGATTTTAGCCTAGCACGCAGGAGGTCCTTGGGTTTCATTACCATTGCCGCCAAAGCATTTTTTAAAAATCGATTAATAGTTTTGTATTTTCTTTTGTAAGCCAGTCCCCCATGCTGGGCTGCGTCTAATGACACAGATATAAGCCCTGCATCTGGAGTCCAGAAGTCTGAGACCCAGCTCTGCACAGGAAGTCTCTTTCCTGCCTCTCCCAGACTCAGGAGTTCCAGTGTCTGGGGCTTGTGATGGAGTTTCATCATCCCTGTATGTGCCTGTTCTCGTGAGGGCCAACCATGATCATCTAAGTCTGGGCAGAAGGGAAGTTCTTTACTTCCTCCAACCATTATCACCCGGGACTCTGGCCATCCTTCAATTTCAGTGGAAGCTGGAGTCTCAGTTGTTTACCCTGAGACAATGCGGGGCTGCAGGAGAAACCACAGGCTGAGATCACTGACCCTTACCCAAGAGCAGACCATTCAAAGGAAATTCCTGGCGTTCCAAGCACTGTAGATAGAAACACCTGCCAGCGCACAGTCACCAGGACACCCCAGACAAATGTCAGCCAATCAGGGGTCCTAAAACCTCAGAAAGCCCTCACCCCCACCTTTACTACTATAAAACCCTATTCTAATTGAACTCAGGGCTCTCCAGATATTCCAATACGTTGGAAGTGCGGCGAGACTGAGTTCACAAACTTGACTAAAATAAAGGCTCTTGGCTTTTACATACAGGACTCGGTCTCCTTTGTTGGCTTTTGTGGGGACCCACGGATTTGGGTGTAACATTCTCATACTGCTTCCTTAGTCTCCTTTTCTGAGCCCTGCCTGTCTAATCTCAGATTGTCTCAGGACCCCGAATTGTATCTGGAGAGTCTGCAGTACTAGGTAGGGAACTAGGGACCCCACCCCACCAGACCAGTGTTCACACTGATCTATATAGCCCAAGCCCCATGCCACAGCCATGGCTCTGGGGATCAGCACTGGATATATCTTTGTGGAGGCCACCACCTCTGGTCACGAAAAGCCACTGCAAGCAGTTAAAGGTTGTGACTGGCCTTTCATCCCTGCAAAAGAACCTAGCTTTGGGAGCCTCCACCCCAGGCCACCGGAGTCTTAGATGTCCTCCTCAGGGTAGACTGACCTTGGGGGAACCATGGCTTAGTGATCAGCCATTTTACAATTTCTCTGTCCCTGTGCAGAACACCTGCTAGAAAAGATGCCCCGGGCTTCTGTATTATTTATTTATCCCACATGGCAGGCCTGACTTTGTCCCCTGCCTGCCCAGCGCTGTCTTCATGAATGATTGAGGTGAGGAGAGACAGGCGGCTCACCTGGCCTTTGTCTGAGAGGCACACTGGCCTGCTTGTTACAGGAAAGGTGATACTCCCGTGCAAGGGGCCTCAGAGCTGGCCAAGTGAAACTCTCAGAAGAACACAAGGAAGACAGGGATGCCTCGTTTACTCCCTACTAAGGGAAACAAGGCCACCAAAGGACATGTTTATAGTTGGGATTTCTTGTTTCCTATTTGTTTGCCTTGCTGGGGATGGAGCCCAGGGCTTCAAACCTGCTAGCCAAGGGCTGTGTGCCTGAGCTACACCCCTGCCCGTCACTGGGGGTTTCTGTGTGAGAACCTTGAAGACTGAAACCCTCCTGTCTCAGCCTCTCAGACACCTGAGGTAACTAGTCTGGACACCACACCCAGCCGCTGGTGTGTGAATTAAAAGTATCTCTTTTCTTTATAAGTACAATTTGTTTAGGCAGGCATGATGACATGATCTCTGTGACACTGAGGCTAGCCTGGTCTACAAGGGGATTTCCAGGGCAGCCAGGACTACTTAGACTCTCAAAAAAAATTGAATCATATTTACATGGGTCTTTCACCCATATAGATGTCTGTGTACCATGTGGTGTGTCTATAGCTAGAGGAGGCCAGAAGGGAACGTTGGGTCCCCAGGACTGGAGTTATAGGTGGTTTGAGCCACTATGTGGGTTCTCTGCAAGAGCAAACAATATTCTAACCACTAAGCAATCTCTCCAGCACTGCAAATAGTTTTTAATCTAATTATTACCTTGATAAAAATCAATAAAGCAGGCTACTATCAGGAATCCATGCCCCATTTTTCAGATTTCCTTTTTTTTTTTTTTTCTGAGAGGTTTCTCGGTGTATTCCTGGTTGCCCTGGAACTCACTCTGTAGACTAGGCCTCGAACTCAAGAGATCCACCTTTCTCTGCATGAAGAGTGCTGGATTAAAGGTGTGCACCACCATGCCCACACCACCACTGGCTATTTCCCAGATTTCTTTTTTTTTTTTTTATTTTTGTTTTTGTTTTTTCGAGACTGGGTTTCTCTGTAGCTTTGGAGCCTGTCCTGGTCCTGGAACTCACTCTGTAGACCAGGCTGGCCTCAAACTCACAGATCCAGACCTGCCTGCCTCTGCCTCCCGAGTGCTGGGATTAAAGGCGTGTGCCACCACTGCCCAGCTATTTCTCAGATTTCTACTGGATTGGAAAGTTTAGCACAGGGTCAGGCAGTCTGGTCTGGGGAGAACCACTAAAGGGAAGTTTCAGGCTTTTAACCTTCCAACCTCAGGGCTCCAGGGAGACCCAGTGAGAGAGAGAAGGTGCTGGTGACTAAGGTTTTAAGTGGTGAAGGGAGGGACCCTGCCCACCACTGGTCCACAGAGAACATTCAGGAAGTGGGAAGGGGCTTCTCAGAACTTCTTCCTCTATACCTCTGCAGTCTACCAGGACAACAGACAGCCCTTTCCTAGCAGGGTTGCAGTGGCGCACGCCTTTAATCCCAGCACGCGGGAGGCAGAGGCAGGCGGAGCTCTGTGAGTTTGAGGCCAGCCTGGTCTACAGAATGAGTTCCAGGACCAGGACAGGCTCCAAAGCTACAGAGAAACCCAGTCTTGAAAAAAAGAAAGAAAGAAAGAAAGAAAGAGAGAGAGAGAGAGAGAGAGAGAGAGAAAGAAAGAGAGAAAGAAAGAAAGCCCTTTCCTAATTGTCTACAACTTTGAAGGAAATCCCTAAACCTTTAGAATTCTCCACCCTTGTGTCACCCACCCTACCTCCACCCCTGATTTACACAGCCCATTTGCTACCCCACCCCCAGGCCAGCAGGAAAGGCTACCCAACCCTGCCCCTCCCTATAAGATCCCAGCCAGATAGTGTTTCCCAGACTCTAGAGCCAAGGCCATCCATCCAAGCTTGAGGAAACTGGCCAACTTCACACAGGGACTTTTAGAAACTGCAGGGAACCCTCTGGCACCTTGGCCATCCCTGGCACACAGAATCAGCAGCAGCTGTGGTGGTCGCTGGTAACTGGCACATGTGGCCCTGGGGATGGAGGGTGGACACCGAGCTCAGCCCTTCCTCAGGAGAACTCTGACA